TTCCCACCAATTTCAAATGTGGTTCCATCCATTTGGTAAGTTTGCAAGATTTTTGCAACCACATCATCATATTTTATTGAATCTGTTTTTTGCGTCTTTTTCTTTGACAAAATGTCAACTAGAAGGAAGAAGGGAATCTTTTTCAAATTTTGGAAATGCTCATTTCCAAGTTTTGTCACATTGAAGAATTTGATGAGAGATTGCATGTTTGAGCAGTAAACATACTTTGCTTCATGACAATTGTCATGAATTTGTTCAGTTCTTGTTTTTCGCAGTACACATACTTTGCTTCATTGTCATGAATTTGTTCAGTTCTTGTTTTTCTTCCCTCTATTTTCTTCTTGCCTTTTGGTTTGTGTTGCTTTGGTTCTTGTTTCTTTTGTTGGGGTTTGCTTTTTGTTGTTTTTTTGATGTTTGCTTGTTGTTTCTTTTGTTGCTGTTTTCTTTTTGTTATCTTGTAGCTTTTTGTGTCGTTGTTGTCTTTCTTTTCTCGCTTTTGTCTTTTGCAGTTAAAGATCTTGTTTCTAGCCTAGATAATCTCTTACGAGAACTCGCAACATCTATATGAAAGAAGGATATCAATGAATTAGGCAAACCATGCAAAATTTATGGATATACGACAAAATTTATCAGTTAATGAAGCAAAGAAAGGTTATACACTGATAAAACTTGAATATATCTATAATTCCTCTGGTTTCATTTTATTAGCTAGCAAACAAAATAATTCAAACAATCAAATAAGAATAAGAAGAATTATGAAAATTAAGCAAATTTATCACTGCATAGAAAAAGTTATGGATGTATGACAAAATTTATCACCTAAGGGAAATTTATCAGTCAAGTAGGTGAACTAAGGAAAATTTATCACTGAATTAGGCAAATTAAGTAAATTTATCAGTGTGAGCAAAAATTTATCCCTGCGTAAGAAAATCTAATATTCGTTTAAACAAAACAAAGGTTATGAATGCACACAACAATATGTTTCAGATTGTGCAAGGATAAATTTGCCAATTGTTGTCCTAGATGTGTGATGTTCTATTTTGCAAATCTTCGAATTGCGTTCTTGTCATTTGGTTTGATGATGCTAGTATGCTCGCATATATAATATTTTTGATGACAAAAAAAAAAAAAAAAAATTGTTATAAATTATTTTTTAGTAACCGTAACTATTATATCTTATAATTTGTAAGTGAGGTATTTACTTACCAATAAGACCATCACACATCTGGAAACTTTATCAATTTGGTTCATGTTACTTGCTATTGATCTTGTGAGCTGTTGTTTCGCTGCGCCACACCAATCATAAAACTCCATTCTGTCAATATCCTCCATATATTTCATGAACCCCCAACCGATTGTAGTTCCAGTACCCAGATATGACAAAAGAAAATAGATCAAGAGGCACACAAGCTTGACAACATTTTCTATATCCTCATTATTGTTACTTTTCAAAAGTTGAGTGATCAATTTTGTGATTGATGTCCTTGTCATTCTACTCTCTGTTATTTTCCTTCTTTTCACCATATCTATTTCATTTTTTCTTCCATATGAGAGATTCATCTTCTTTTGTCCACATGTAATCTCAAAAATCAGCTTAAAGTCATTGCTTTTCAACTTCAACTTCTTAGCACTTATTTTGAAAGTTTCTCCATCCATTTGGTAAGTTTGCAAGATTTTTGCAACCACATCATCATATTTCATAGAATCTCTTTTTTTCACCTTGTTTTTACTCAATATATCAACTAGAAGTGAAAAAGGAGTCTTTCTCAATAGTGCCAAATGTTCCTCTCTGAGTTTTGTTGTCTTGAAAAACTTGATAAGAGATTAAATGTTAGAACGGTAGACATACTTTGTATCATTATCATGTATCTATTCAGTCCTAGTTTTTCTTCCATCAACCTTTTTCTTCCCTTTTGCTTTGTGGAGCTATGTAGTTTGTTTCAGTCGCTGCTGTTTAGGCTCCCCATTGTCAATGTTAGATTCACATTCAACTTCTAATTGATTTTCACTCTCATCTGTTGTTGGTTCTATAACACACTCAACTTTGTCAATCTTTTTCTTCTTTGAGAAACTTGTTTCTCAACGACGTAATCTTTTACAATGACTGGGAACATCTGTACAAAAACATCAAGCATGAACATTGAAGATTAAGAAGAATTTATTGCTGAATTAGGCAAACTAAGAAGAATTTATCACTCAATTATGCAAATTAAGCAAATATATAACTGTATAGTAAAGTTTAGATTCCAAATTGCAAAAGAATATCAAGTATCATGATGAAGATGAAAATGACTGATAATTTATCACTCAATGAGGCAAAGTAAGTAAATTTGCCATTGTATAGCAAATTTTATCACTCAATTAGGAAAATTAAGCAAATTTATCATTGTTATAGAAAATTTTATTACTGAATTAGGCAAAGTAAGCAAATCTATCATTGTATAGCAAATTTTATCGTTGAATTAGCAAAAGTAAGCAAATCCATCATTGTATAGCAAATGAACATGATATGATTATTATGAAGTTGAATATCACTGATAAATTAATACTGTATGGTACACATTGAAAATAGCTTCAAGTCGAATTTTATCACTTAATTATAGTTATGAAAGAAGAAGGGAAGCAAATCCATCATTATAACAAATTTTATCACTCAATTAAGCAAATTAAGCAAATCTATCATTGTTATAACAAATTTTATCACTCAATTAGGCAAATTAAGCAAATCTATCATTGTTATAACAATTTTTATCACTGAATTAGGCAAAGTAAGAAAATTCGTCATTGTATAGTAAATGTTATCACTAAATTAGGAAAATTAAGCAAATCTATCATTTTTATAGCAAATTTTATCATTGAATTAGGCAAAGTAAGCAAATCTGTCATTGCATAGCAAATTTTATCACTGAATTAGCAAAAGTAAACAAATCCATCATTGTATAGCAAATGAACATGAAGATATGATTATTATGAAGTTGAATCTCACAAATAAATTAATACTGTATGATACACATTGAAATAGCTTCAAATCGAATTTTATCACTTAATTATAGTTATGAAAGAAAAAGGGAAGATGAGTACAACTCACATTTGATTGGCATGTTTGTTGAAGATGAACTAAACAGGGAGAGTAGATGTCCGAATCAGAATATAGATCGAAATGGTAGAAGATTTGCTGGGGATCTGTTCGGAATCGGTATGAAAACAGTTGGCGATTTCTTTGGAAACGATGGGAGATTCACCGAAAATCTCTTTGTTTGTTTTGGAAATCGCCTCAGAATGATTTCCAAATCTTCATAGGTTCATCTGCAACAGAACCCTTGAAAAGGCGCGTGTGTGTCACGCACGCAGGGGAGAGCTCGTGACAGCTTCTTTGCTTCACGCGTGTGTTGTGATATTGAGGGGTAAAATTGGAAACGGAAATAGGACAAGACTTGACTAGTATTAACCTATTTCCATAGGGCCGGCTGGTAAGTCCCCCTATAAAATATTAAATTTTTTTATTGTATTATTTTAGTTATAAAATAAAGTAGAAAAAATATAAAAGATAATATATATTTCACATTTTTTTAATGTTCTTTTTTGGATGGTCTTCCTCATCCTCAGGCATGTCTGACCTTTTGACTTTGAGACTCCATTCAGGATTGGAAGAAGTGCTGCTAGACTAGATTATGCTGATGCTGATGTTTGCGGTACTTTTTCTGATGAGGGATTTGAATGCCATTATGATTCTACATGCCATGCCATACTGCGGCTGCCTCTTCACTGAAGAAACGCATACAGTCGATTGATGTTATAAAGTCCTCCATTATGGAATGGTTCTCAGCAGCACGTGAATCTCCTAACTCGCTGAAAGTGACAGCGTTTATTTCATTTATATATATTATATTAGCTTAGCTGAAACGGATTGAGTGTCCTACAAATCAATAGAATCTAGTTCATTCGAATGATGTACTTGGGAGGAACATAGCCCAAGCTACCAGGCTGCTACTCTAGGTTCGTTTTGCTTCTTCAAGCTCTACCCCTTATTGAAAAAGAAAGCGCTAATGTGCCTTATATTATTAGTAAAGCAACCTTTCGCGCTAGGAGCTCACGTTTTTTGGCAGTGGGTGGCCATGAGACCTACTCCTTTTGGAATGAATCCCTCGCTTTCTGTGGATTGACCCGCTACTGAATGATTGCCCTCTAATCCAAGAGCCTATATTCCCAACATGGCTGGTTCAATACCTCTATTCCTACCCGAAAGATATCCTAGAGGACTCAAACCTGTTGCCTCTTTCCTCTGAGCTCGTTTGCTTGTAGTTTTCATTCCTCTCCTAGCAGCGAGTAGGAAACTATCGGAGCAGTGTCCCATTTTTCAACCAAGATTCTTGTTATTTATTTTGTAAGAGAAAGGGTCCGCTATCCTATCTCCAATCTAATATAGGCAATCAGTGGTGGCCTGCTTATGCCAGCCCTTTCCCTCTTCTTTCGCTTCGCGTCTGCCTATCTATTATGAAGTAGGGAAATCAAAACCCTTTTCTACTTCTTACAATAAAGTAGAAAAAATATGAATGACAAAATATATAGAGAGAGATATTTATTTGTACTTCTTAAATTAGAATATTTATTAAAAATTATATTTATTTTACCATAAAATTTGTTAATGTTCCAAATTTAAATAATAAATAAAAGGATCTAAATAATTTGATATTTATTCAAAATAAAAATAAAAAGTAGTTGCTTATATCTATTGGGTTAAGTGGGAGATTTGGAACTTGAATATTTTTTGAATCGGATTTGGAATAGCTAAATTAAGTCCGATATCAGGTCGGACTGGGCTTAAAATGACACATATCCTCTTATAATTAAAGCCCAGCCAGGCCCAAGATTTATGCACCCCCATACTAGAGCCCAGAGGTCTCTTGCCCTTGGATTCTGCAAAACAGAACAAAAAAAACCTTGAACAACATCCCTTGTTTGTTGAAATGAGCAAGCAATGAATTTAAAGAAAGCTGTGAATCATTTGCATAGATGAGATCAGTTGTGCGTTACATGTATGCCAAGTTTGTCAGACAACTCATATGAACAATTTACATTTAATCAAATGTTGAAGAACCTTCATATACCTTATGAAAAGAAAGAAAGAAAGAAGAAGAAAAAACCTATTTACATCTCTTATTGATGAATGTAAATCAAATAGTCCGAAAATGTTCAAAATTATGGTATAAAAATACCCAAAAAACTGTCAAAACTGGAGGAAAGAAAGGGAAAAAAACTAGACATGAGATAAATATGTAATACTCTGTCTCTGCTATTGAATTAATTGACACTGGTGAGGCTGAAACATGCAGCAGCACTCTTTAGTTCGTTTTTCGACACATGCTCAATCGGTCGTGTTATATCCTTCCATGGTGATTCGCAGCTGCATATAAAAAAACATAATTAAACCCAAATAAAAACAACATTGTACATAATACCAGTTTTTTTTTTTTGAAAGCAGAACAACCAAGAAGAAATCCAATTAATTTACCACGAGTCACAGGCTTCTTTCGATTCAATATAAGATTGTCTGTCATCAGCAATTGTATCGAACGGTATGTCATCATAATCAATCTCAATTTGCTGTTGAATTGGAAAAACCTCGGATTCAGGAATATTCAATTGGGATTGAATCCCAACATGATCATTACCACTATTATTATAATTCGGATGTTGAATCCATAATCCTTTCACAATATCATCATTGGGTTCCACATAAACACCGTTATTCCCATTCATCACAAACTGGTTAGCATCCAAAGGCATCATCGCATTGGCCCCTGGCGAATGATGTTGAAGTACAATTAAACCATTGCCAGTCGAATTCATGCCTAATTGCAACTCAGACGAAGGAGGAAAGTGGTGATCGACGACTTGATTGTGACACTCTTCCCTGCAAATCACTAACCGAGCTTGAACATACTGAAGCTCTTCGACCGCTTGTACTAATTGACCGTAAAGATGGCGAATTATTCCACAACAACCATGAACAGGGAATTTTTCGCGCATGTCAGACTCATAAATAACCGATTTCATGGCCTCGTCTTTTTGATCTTGATTATCCAATTGCCTAAGTATCTTCATAATGTTGCAGACCCCGAAAAGGCGGTGAGAGTTTTGGAACATCTTGGGTTGGTTGGCTGGAAAATATGGAGCCAGAGGGCACTCCGAAGAGCATTTTCGCCGTTGGTATTTACACGCTGCACAGGCTTGGCTAGTGCCTCCTTTCACCGTCATGTTAATTTTGCAGTGCGTGCATTGCAAGTAAATGATAACAGATCGTTTTGAAAATCTAAAACAGTGATTCAAACAAGAAGAAAGAAAAAGAATACAGCTGTGTAGATCAGTACACGTGTGAGATCTGTTAGGATGAGAGTTACCCAGTTGAGATTTTGATAAGCCGAGTCATAGGGGAGATTTGTTTGAACTTTTAATTTTTGGATTCGGTGATTCGTTGCTGTTGGGTTGGACTTGTTTTTAACCAATGGGAATTGGTCACGTCATCAGACTAGGTTTTTTTTTTTGGTACATCAGAATGCAGGTGGCTGAGATGGGGGTTTTTTGGGTGTTGAAATTACAATTTGATGAAGTATGCTTTATATTTGGTTCACTGTGCTTGCGAAGTAGGTGAACAGGAACGTGTGAAAGTTCGTCGAGTCTTGACCGTTTCAAAGAAGCTGCCACGAAGCATCCTGTTAACGGCTACTGGAGCAAGTTCAATTTTTGTAGTGGTGAGTGTTTCATGTGTGATGACCTTATTCTTTTAGGAATTATCTTAGAGGCTGAAATTAGAAAAAATATCATTTGGTCCCTACTCAAAAATTAATTTAATTTCTATTCTTTCAATAATATCAATTTGATACCTAAACTATTCAATTTTTCATTAATTTTATCACGTCGTCAATTGCTGTCTATAATCAAACAAAAGTTGTTGATGTGACACCTAAATTTCAGTGAAATGTGGAAATGTAATTCAGTGTATTTGGTTTCAGTTTTCTAAAAATTGAGTTTTTTATTTTTTTATTTTTAGTAAATATTTTTTAAATTTTAAACAATTTTTTTTTTTTACTTTTTTAGATGTATTTTACTTAGATGTATCTAAATAGTAAAATATTTGTGAAAAAATTAATATATACGAAAAATATACTGAATTTTTATTTTTATTTTTGTATTTTTGGTATTTAGGATATTTTTTTAAAAAATAATTTTCACAAATATTATACTTTTTAAGTGTATTTATATTATGTATGTCTAAAAATTAAAAAAAAAAATTGCTTAAACTATTAAAAACATTCATTGAAAACATTAAAATACGAAAAATAAAAAAGAGATTTTTTTGAAAACTATTTTCTAAAAATTAGAACCAAACAAGCTGATTGATATTTTAGAGAGAATTTGGGAGAAAAATAAAATTTAAAACGAAATTTTAGTGGCATCACCAACTTCCATTTGATAAAAACGATAGTTAACAATGGGTAAAACTAATTTAAAATCAAATAATTTAGATGTAAAATTATTTTTTTTAAAAAAATAAAAGTTAAATTAATTTTTTAGTGATAATTTGAAAAGTAAAACAATATATTTTTTTCTATCTATTAATTCAATTTTAAATTGTGATTGGTCCAGATAAAAATAAAAATTAAATGAAATATATATATATTTTTAAAAAGGCGAAACTGTAGAGATATATGGCTCCCTTAAAAATGTTTTATTTTTATATTTTATTTTTAAGTAGTGCTCTACTAATAAGTAAAAGGATTTTTTTTTTAAGGTCCATAATATTAAGATTTTATGAGATAAAGAATATATAATATTTTCATAATAGTTGGGATCCCTCGATATTTTCACAGAGAAAATGGACTCAGAAAAATTTTGGCCTGACACAGAGAAATTTTTCAATTTTCACCAAAAAATTTCTCTAATTTTACAATGAAATTTTGAAATTTTCCTGATATGATCACAGAGAAATTTATCAAGAAACCTTAACTAATAGAAAAAATATCTTGAACATCTTCTACTACACAAAGTTAAAAAAGAATATTTTACTAATTTTCACTCAACAAAAACTACAACCTTAATAGTTCAAAGATGGACACATTTTGCATTCATATTCTTCAATTCGTACATTGGGCACAATTTGGCTCTGAATCCACCATTACAACATGGGGAAATTACTATACAATAGAAGAGAAAAAAGAATAATTCACAAATATGGAAAGGTGTAGGTCAGAATTTGAGTTGCACAAACCACAAAAAAAACAATGAATTACACCATCATATTTGTGTCATTTTTTTCTTCCTGTCTCACTGTTGAGTAATGCTCCCTTACAACATCATCAATAGGTGTCACTTAATCTGCTCGGCATCTGTTAGTAAAAAATTATGCCAAATCTTGATTGACAACAACCAAGTAATAATTTAAACTAACAATTTAAATAAAAAATTAGATGACTGTATAAAGCTTCTAAATGCCTTGAAAGTATAAGAATTTCTTTGGAACAATTAGGTGCTGTTTGGTAACACTAACAATCGGACGACAATGTGTCAAAATAAACAAAGACAACTCCAGATGAAATTATCTAAGTTTACAAGAGTTACAAGCCATAAATTACAAAGAAAACTACTCCTAAGTTAAGATAAGTTACTCCTAGGCCTAAAAGTTATGTGTTGTTGGGTTGTCCTCTTTTCCTTCTTCATTTTCAAGCCTTTATTTTCTTCCTCCTTTCTCTAACCCATGATCACATGATCCTTCAAATCTATAACCCACTTCCTCTTAATTGTTGCTGCAACTGCTCCATCACTTCCAACCCTTCAAACTTCAACAATTCTTTACATTTCTCTGTCGAAATAATTCTCCTCCTCCATGATGTCACATACTCCTCCTCCATGATGTCACATATCCCTCAAAATTTTGAGCATTATATCGACAAAAACAGAACTCTATTTCACAATCATGGCTTCACACCAATCAGCCCACTAAGTCAATAATTATTTAATACTTTCAATAATTCATGCACTAAAACAATTCTTTCATGCCTTGTGTCTCTTTGATCAAATGAATACTTTGACTTTTTTGCCATAAGTCATCATTCGATCGATCTATCTGTCAATAGGAAATTTACAAAAATGGATGCAAACAGCATCTAAACATTTTGAGTACTTACAAAATTGTTAAAAGGTTGCTATATATTAATGCAACAATGCTATATCCCCTAATTTATCACCTTTAAATAATCTCTAATGATGTGTGTAACAACCCCGATCTGTAATTACTTACTAATCCATAATTAAGGATGTTAATTAAGTGATTAAAATAAATTATATGTTTAATGTGTATTTTGCATGCTATTTGACTTTCTCTCTATTAATCGTAGTAATATTTGTTGTGAAATCTGCTTTGATATAAAAATTGAAAGTCTTATTGGCATCTGAAATTGAAATTGATTACATTAATATGTTATTCTTAATGCAACAATGCTATATCCCCTAATTTATCACCTTTAAATAATCTCTAATGATGTGTGTAACAACCCCGATCTGTAATTAATTACTAATCCATAATTAAGGATGTTAATTAAGTGATTAAAATAAATTATGTGTTTATTGTGTATTTTGCATGCTATTTAACTTTCTCTCTATTAATCGTAGTAATATTTGTTGTGAAATCTGCTTTGATATGAAAATTGAAAGTCTTATCGGCATCTGAAATCGAAATTGGTTACATTAATATGTTATTCGGAATTTTTAGAATCATATGGAAAATTTTATTAAAAACTGATTCAGTTTACTTAATTAAGTTGTGTTTGGTTGGCCAATTGTTCTAATTATTGTATTAAGCCACTACAACTATATAAACATGACCCTTAAGCTCATTTGAGCAAATCTTTGCCCATTGTTGAGTGCAAAAGTTTGAGATTGTATTCTAGAGAGAGAGAGAGAGAGTTCACTCTTAGAGAGAGAAAGTGTAGGAATTGAAGAGGAATTGAAGGCTTTGGCTTGAATTCTTCAAGATTGTGCTAGTATCTAGCTAATTGAAGACTCTAGGTAAGAATTCAATCTCTAAATTGTGAATCTAAGTCATCTAGCAAGAGATTTCATCAAGATTATGAGTTTAAATGCACAAAATAAGTTTAGAATGAAGGAAATGTTGCTAAGTCATACATGCTTGTATGAAATTGTCAAGAACTCTCATGTTTGAGCATCATTCATGCCATTAGAGATGAAATTAAAAGCTAAAAGTCACATGCATGCATAATTCATAAAGGTTTGAGGCTCAATTGCATGTGTTTAAAGTGAAAGAAAAGAATTTGAATGAATTTGGGACATACATGCATGGAAATAAGAAGTTTGGCCATGTTGAGTTTGGTTTTGAGCGTCTAAATTGTCATTGTAAGTTATTTGGCACATGCATGTTTGAATCATCTTGTTTACCATTTAAATTCATGTTTTGAAAAGGAATTTCTTACATGTAAGAGCTTTTGAGCTCAATTTTGGAAAATTGAAGAGGTTTTGAGCAAATGATTTGTAAATCATCTTGTATTTGAGTTTTCTAAAATGTTTTTATGATTATTAAAGTGTTTCAATTAGTTTGGAATGGCCATGGAAGCTTTTGCATGTTAAAATGCATTTTTCGAACTCAAATTTTATGTCTAGAAACCCAAAAAGTTCACAGCTGGCTCGAGCGACAAAGTGGTGACTTTAGCCAACATTGCGAGCTCCCAGTATTTTGAACTCTGCAAAAGCTGGCTCGAGCAACGAAATGGTGGCTCGAGTGAGCTCAATTTTTGCCTTCAGCTGGCTCTAGCGACGAAAAGCTGACTCTAGCCAACAACTTTTTTCTAGCATGTTTTCAAAAGATGTTTTAAGTACATATCTTCGCTCCCATCCTTTTCTGAGCATATTTAGGCATGAATTAAGAGTCATTAAAGAGTAATAAGCTAAGGAATGTCATAAGTAATTGAATTAGAAAACATGAGACAAATCTGAGATTCGAGAATGTGATTCGCATATACAAGTTATGAGAATGGACTAAATAAGAAACCAATGTAAAGAAAGCTAAGTCGTAATGGCCAAGTGCATGTGTAATGATAACCTATGTTTGTGTTATGTGCTTTTGTGTTTGTAGGCCAACATTCGACGATTAATTGACCGTTTCTGGAAGCCCATTGTGAGTAACGTTATTGTAAAGATATGTTCATATGAATTATGTTCCAAATGTGATTTGATAAGTTATGATTTATGAAATGATATTTATTTACGTGAACGAATGTCCTATGTTTGAAATCTGTTATGGCATCCATAGATAGTCCCAAGTCATGGGGGACGGCATGTTAATGCGAGTCCATGACATATATGTGATTACGAGATTTCGTAAGCCACTTGTCAAAGTGGTGATGTGTCTAATCGGTATCCGGAACCAATTACTCTAGTCGGATGACGATGTGACATGTTCTATTGGATATACCGTGTAATGATAACCTATGTTTGTGTTATGTGCTTTTGTGTTTGTAGGCCAACATTCGACGATTAATTGACCGTTTCTGGAAGCCCA